GGGTAATTCGAAAATCAGTCCTCCACCGCCTTATGTGACCTAAGGTGAGTGCATTTCTTGTTAATGATATCCTTAAAGTATCCACGACCAAAAGTGAATATACCTACCCTGTGAACTGAGCCAAAAATTGCGACTGTTACTGAGACAATTAAATATCAAGATGATAGCAAAGGAAAAAACAACAATCTTCACCAGCCTACCGACGCAAAACAAGAAGGTTGACAGACTGGATTCCACGAAATTTTATTCTATAAAATACGGCAAGTGTAATCAGAAGTATTCTGATGAATCAGGAATACAAATCAGTACACTAATCAAGGAACACCAAAGACTCTGCAGAAATATGGATGCGGAAAGATCCTAAGTGGCGGAACACATTGCACGGACGGGACAAGAAATCGGCAGAAAGGCTGACTGCATATGGTGAAATAAAAGAAGGCCCAGGATACGAGAGGCCATCTTCATCCCGATTTAAATAAATCTAATGAACAAGAGACTTTAAGAATGCACGATTAGCGAAAACTTTCCATACTGCATATGCAGACTCGGAAAGATCAGGGAACAACAATATCAGCAAAAATAAGATGACTGGATCAAGGTAGTATTTTTAATTGTAGGAAAAGAAATCACAAGGAGACCAGAAAGTAACAATCGGAAACCAAGAGGAGACGTCTACAGTGAGCCTATTCTACTCAACTGTCACATTTGTGGGTCGGCATACAAGAGACTAGGGCATAAGAGAATCATATACTTGGTATTATGGATAGAAGAGCGAGAGAATATAAGTAAAGTTTCGAGGATACCAGTAAATAATAATTATAATGATAATAAGTTTGATTATAAGCGTGGTCCATGAAGTAAAGACTTGACCCCGAGATTTACCCTGTGCACATGCTACATAGGCTTCCATATTACTTGGGCATCCAGACTTTATGGGCTTGTTCAGTGAGGCTGGCATATACTTGTTATCTAAGGCTTGAGGCAAGTGTAGAACATAACGCCTCGAGTAACACGGATACGGTGGCAGCGATGGAGTGAAATCACGTATCAAGCAGATAAAAGAAGTATCTTACAGATCCTGGATCAACACTCCCAGCACAGGGGGGGGATGAGGGAACCATCGCGGAGTGTGAATAAGTCTGACGAAATCGGGTCAAAAGGGCACACCTTAGCTATGTTTTGATAAGCAAGTAAGTAAGGATGATATTGGGG